TCATGAAGTTCTTGTGGATGACTGCTCGCTCGATTGTTGGATAAGTATCTGATGTTGTTGAATAGATTTATCTTTTTTATAATTTGCTTGGAATGTGCAGGTTCATTCAAGTAACTTTAATGTTGGAGTTCAAGCTCTCATGCTCCTAGATAAGATCTCAGCAAAAAATCACATTGTTAGTGATCGATTTTATCGTGCCTTGTATGCTAAGCTCCTTCTACCAGCTGCAATGAATTCTTCCAAGGTATGTGGAAACCTTCATAATTATATTCTTGTGCTTTCTGGTTCAGCTTAAGCTTTTTTGATAGGACAAACATATACACTTCAAGAATTCCCCTCCCGCTTCGTACGAAAACCAAAGTAAGTCGTTAGTTATACTCTTGAACTGTCTTCAATTAACACATCTGTTGTTTAGTGGTTTTTGGTTTGGGGGTGGGGTGGGGGTGGGGAGGGGTGGGTTGGGCAGGGAAAGAAAGAGAGAGTGGTAGATTAACCTCTGTATTGGCATTGCTGAGGTCAAGATCTGTGTGGTCCTGCTCCTGCTTCTAGTTCCTTTTCTTTTGTGATCTTTGGTGTCTGATCTCGTCTGTTGTAAGCTTTAGATGCACACTTGATTTGCAATCTTATGGGATCAAAGGCATGTAGTGTACTTAGAGATTTGATGTGATTAATGATTATAATTAGGATTATGGATTAGTTTTTCAAGGTTGATATTTAGGTTCAGCAAGTTTGAAGATTAAATGATACTTATCTTGGTGGTATCCATTTTTCCATTCCCAACTTCGTAGAATGCTAAGAAACCTATGTTATGGCCGGCAGAAAAAAAATTTGACCCTCCCCCCTACCCCCCCTCCCTAAAAAAAAAAAAAAGGATTTGCAAGAAAGTGGGGAGGCAGTTGCTTGAGCTAACCTCTTACTTGCTCTTTTAATTGTTGGCTGAGGCTGGTGTGAATATGGGTTCCTGCGCATGAAGGGGTTTGTGAAAACCAAATAATTGATGGCTGGCTGTTGAGATCTGTATTAGAGTCTTGGATACAACCCTTTTCTCACTTTCTGCTTTTATGTTATGTTAGTTCCTTTGTTGAAAACTTGACGGATAGCATGGCTCTTGTTCCGGTGACCCATTATTCAAATTTTTTCTCTAACTTTTGATGGTAGGATAGCGGACTACCATAGTGGTGACATATTGATGGAGCTCTTACATCGAGTATAACTTTTATCCACAATTTAGACTTAACTATCTAACCGTAACGTGCTTGGTCATTACTAGGTAACTTAAGCAAAAATGCCATGGTTTAGAGATACCTTCATTTTGAAAACAATATCAAGCAGAGAAAATGAGATTAGAAAAATTGAAAATTCCAAGAGTCAAAGGAAGTAAAGTTCTGGTGAAGCATCCATATTTTGTTTGCAAGATGTTCTCTGAAGAAAACCATAAACATTCATAACTAAGAACTAAGGTAGTCATTGCTGCACACATGCTTCGATTTATAGAGGAAATAAGCCCCAGCACCAGAAAATCGAAGTCATAGAGAATGAATATCCGAAGCAACTTATATGGATGTCATATGCCATATGAATGTGAAGCTAATATTATTGATGTATAAAGTAAGTGAGCTGTAAAAGTTGGCCATCCCTGTATTTAGTAGCTGCATCCTGTTGCTCTTTTTGTCACAGATCTTGAGAAGGTTAAGTTGTGAGGAATTAGGTCGTCCTCCTTTCTGGAGGTTGCTGCTACTTTACCTGGTTACACGATAAACTTCCCATTTGCTTTATTAAAAGAAGTTTTATCAGACCTGTAACTTTAGACATTATTTCTTCTAGTACTTCCAGCCTTAGCCGTACTTCTGCTGCAAACCCCCTCCTGCTGAGAATGGAAAACATATGGAAGAGTTCTTGTTGTCTTGAACTAAATTTTGTCATAATGCATCACTTCTTGACAATGCTGATTATGACCTGTATTCATTCGATTGATGACCAATTGTGCTTCAGTTAGGATCTAACCTTAAGTGAAATGGCTGTTTTTTTCTTGCTACCTTAATCTTTACCTGATTATGTCTGAGCATGTTCTGGTTTTATCTGCAGGAGGAAATGTTTATTGGCCTGCTACTGAGGGCTATGAAAAATGATGTAAATGTGAAGCGAGTTGCTGCATTCTCGAAAGCGTATG